CACTTCCATTTGAAAAGTGTGACTATGGGTGCCAATAATAATCATGTAGCATGTTTATATTTATTTCTAAAATGTGCTTATAGAAATATGTATTATATTCCCACAAGTAACATTTCACTGATATATTTATGTATTTTTGTTGACAATTCTCAATTCCAAGACTTGCTTAATACTCTTTATGTATGATCATGAGTGAGTTAGGGCCAAAAGAATTAACATATAAACCCCCAGCATATTCCTGATGACTTTTTTATGGAAAAACTATTTTAAGTGTTGATGGTACCTAAAATGATACACTGCACTAACCATAGGGGCAAAGTGTACCAATGCAATAAAATATTCTTTCAATGCGGGCCAGAAGTTCTAACAAGGCACAGACTGCATTAACAGTTGGATGGAAATTATCCCTGATGTACTTGTCCTTGATGCTCAAAGGTAATAGCCATTAGATGGACCATATTTGGAAAACCAAAATTCTGTGAGCAGCTGCTCACAGGTGAAAACTCTGTAAGCCTTTCATTTTTGGGAGCTTCACCACTTAAACACATACCAAACATATGCCATTGCTTGGGCAAATGAACACAAACCCTTACTGTTTTTTACCAATTCAATTGAATTGCTACTTTTTCATACTGCTCCCAGCTGTTCCAAGGAGACTGCATGTTGATGAAAGAATTGCAACTAGAGACTTAATAGAACACTTTTTATCAACAAGAAATGTGTTTACAGTAGTAAATTCACTATCTCAAAATCTGCATTGATTATTAATACAAGCAGTGTTCTTTCCAATATACAATGTAGTCATGACCTTAGATTATTGCCAACTGCACTTTCTTTCCTTTTGTCCTTCTTTCCTTATTTTAATTTCTATGAACACTAAATTAATGAACTTTTTACATTTTTGATTCACAGGTACCTCTATGTTTTAGACTTGTTGATTATTTCTCATTATATAAAAATGTGATAGTCAGGCATTGTAGCACAAGCCTATAATCTCAACAGTTGAGAAGCTGAGGTAGGAGGATCTCGAGTTCCAATCCAATCATAAACTATATAGCAATGATTCCATCATATAAGAATTTATATGTCATATATATATATGGGTGTCATATGTATTAGACTAATTTCCCAAATGCATTAATGCTAAGTAGGATTTATAATTTTTACATTTTACAATTTTTATCCTGAGTTTTTCAATGTCAATTCAATCAGTGCACTTAAAACTTAGCCAGAAATAAAAATAATTAGAATAAAATTATACAAATGAAAGTGTTGCATCAAGAAGATAAGGCAATTCTCAAAATGTGTGCTCCAAAAAGCAGAACACTAGTTACAGGAGGCAAAAACTAATAGAGATGCAAAAAGGATTAGAGAAATTCACAAATACAGTTGGAATCTTCCTCACTATGCCAAATGGGTGGCGTACCAGTATACCTTACTTGGGGTAATGACATAATATAAAATTAGCAAGAATATAGGACACTGAGTAGCATCACTAAGCAAGAGAGATTCTAACTGACACAGATTGTTTAAGGAAATATGTTGAAGAAAAGCAAGACCCACTCTTGCTGTGTCTACTACTAACAACAATAATGAAAGGACATCATTGGGATATTGAAAGCAGAAAATCTATATAAAGTAAACCCTAAGTTACGGTCTCAAAAATCTTAAAAATGTATAAGACAAAAATCTTTGTGTTATAAACAAATTGATTACATGTAAAGACCCTAATATAAATCTTTTTGATAAATTTTCTACAATTTGCAGTTTGTGAAGCTGAAAATGAAAATGAGCTGGACAGATAGCAATCCATAACTGTAGTCCAAGCATCTAAAAGCTGAGCTAATAGAATTGCTTGAGCCCAGAAACTTGGGACCAGTGTATGCAATATATGGAAGTACAGTTTCACAAATAAATAAATAAATATCATTACCACAGTCTAGTAAATTATCATAACAAACATATATTACTTATCTGATAAACTAAAATAACTAAGTCATTGGCTGTGGATATAGGATAGTTATGAGACATAGCGACATATTCAAGAAAAGACCAACAAATGGTATACTTTTATATAATGAAATATAAGCCTATCTGAGGTTTTATGAATTATTTTTTCTTAATCTTATATAAATAAAATTTCCAAATGGATTTGTTGGCTCTATATTAGTATTACATATCCAAGAGTAGACAGGAATGGATAAGATTTTAGGAGGGATCCTCAAATCATCTCACTGCTTTTTATTATTGAATTAGCATATGTTTGAGTATTAGGAGGGCCACACTGTGACCCTCAAGCATCCAATCAGGCACAAAGTGCACTTGTCCTATCTTTTTCCAAGCCTTATACTATATGTAACTATGACTAATTAGTTGTGCAGGTGTGATTTGTGAGGGCTATTGAATGGTAAAACCAAATCAAAATAGCTTACCATAACTAGGTACAATGAAGATAACTCATTAAAATGAAAAAAATATTTGCACAGGTAAGTTGAAATTATATCCCTAAAAATGAGATAGAAGCCTTGGAAGCAACCTAAACATAATTATTAGTGTGTGTGTGTGTGTGTGTGTGTGTGTGTGTGTGTGTGTGTGTGTCTCCATGAGTGTTTTAATTCTTAAAAGAGTAATCAGGCTGAGATGTAGCTCAGTGGCAAAGCACTTGCCGAGCAAGTGCAATGTGCTAGGTTCAATCCCCAGTATGAAACAAGAAAAAAAAATACAGTTGAAATAAACCCAAACAACAGATCTCTAGCTTTCTGTCTTTCATTATTGTTTCAGTTCATTACTATCAGAAAACAAAAGCTAGGAAGCTGGAGGGTTAGATAATAATCGGGAAGATTGATCAGGCTTTCATGGGCATTTGCTCCTAGTGAGACATCCTTTCTCAGGAGAGCCTTGTAATTTAGTTCAGATAGTGGCCAAATTGCATGGCTGCTGAGCATTGTTGGAGGAATGACAGACTAGATGGTGAATTGAGCAATGTGTAAATCACAATCTATCCATCTGGAATTAGCAAGCCAAGGCAAGAATTGCCTTATGATCTGCAATTTAGATGCTTACCATGAAGGTCTTTCCCAAAATAAAATATATTTTCTTCATCTGAAAGTTCCAGCAAAGCATCACTGTATCTATCATCATACTAACACTGACTTTCTGATTCATAATTCACTGAGGACCAGCAATAGCTTTCTGAACTAAATGCTAGGCATCTGGGATGGCATTTCTAAAGTGTTGTTTCAGTAAAATCCAAAATTAGTTTTAAGTTTATTGATCAAGTTGGCATTGGAAAAAATATAAAAAATTGTGAAAGGTAAAGATGTAAATCATACACATTGTTGTGATTGGAAAATGTGTATAATCCAGGTTTTACCCATTGAAGCATTTCCTAAATTCTTTTTTTTCCCCTAAATTCTTATATGATGAATTACTGATAAATACTTTATGGCATTATTCATATCTTGGCTTATATTTACAGGTAATTCCTTTAATGAGCTGACAGAAACAGCAACAAAAGTGTTAATACTATCAAGAAATCAAACAGTGAAAATTTTCAGAAATCACCTTTTACGGTTTTAAACTTGTGCAACCATAATGGAAATCAATTTGGAGGTTCCACCAAAACAAAATGTAGAATTATCCTATGATCCAAAAATATCCTTCTTGGGCATTTATCCAAATGAATGTTAATCAGAAAATAACAGGGGAACTTGTATGTCCATGTTCATTAAAGTATTATTCATTATACTCAAGTTATGGAAAGAACTCAGATGCCTTATAATGGATGGATCTGACTTCATTGCTTTTTACTATGTCTTCTTACCATATTCTTTATTATGACTAATATTCCATTAAAGGGCTGTTCTTTTTTTCCCCTGAGCATTCTCTAGATCATGGTAGGTTGGTTTTACTTTCGGTCTTGGATGTGGTTGCTATGAACTTTTTGTACCAGGCACTTTTTGCATGTGCTTTCTTTTCTTTGGATATATATATAGAAACAGTCGTGAAATTGTGGTTTACATGTTAATTATGGTTTACATTTTGAGGAACTGTGTAAACTTTCCCAAAGCAGATGAATCATTTTACATTCCCACCACCAAGATTAGAGTTCCTCCTTTTCCACATTCTTACCTTCTATTTTTTTTATTATAATCAGTTTAATGTTTTTGGACGTAGGGGAGGTAGTTTTGACAACTACTTCAATGATCTTGTCTGTTGATTCGGACACCTATTTAAGTGACCAGTCACTAATGTTTCTTTTCATTGTAAATTTTCATTGAGTCAAGCTTGTACATTGTTCCTCCCTGTTTCTTTTTATTTCATCTCTGATGCAAAAGTTACTTTATGAATTTACTTTATTAATTCTTCCTCTGTATAGTCTCCAGGCATCAATACAAACCTCTGGGGAAGCTTCTCCAGATGCTGCTGTGTGTACAAGTGAGTATTCAAGAAAACTGCAGAGCGCCGCGCTTCCTCTCTGAGCAGTTCTCTCCTTTCTCGCACATTCTGCAGAAAACAAAGCTTCCTCAAGATTCCAGAAACCCGAGGAGCGCTGGGCGCTGCCTGCTGCTCTCCGTCCGGCTCCTGAGCGGTCTGCGCAGCTCACACGGTTCCCTACATCGCAGCTTTTTGGTGGACAGACTCACGGTTACCACTGCAGTAGTAACTTCATTAAAGGGGGCGCGACTGCCATTTCCCCTAAAAGAGAAACTCAGGGGAAAGTTTTACGTCTTAGAACTTAAAATGCGTACAGGCTGCTCAAGCGACCCGCTTGCAAAACAACTCACTTCCTGTTTCCGGCAACACTTATGAGCTATGGCGCAGGCGCAGGAGCAGCGTTAGCCCGTCTCGCCGCTTAGTTACCACTGCGCCTGCGTCGAGGCGCGGGCGGTGAATCTGAATTTACCAATTAGAGACCTCGAGATTCCTTAGTGCCCGCCCACGCCCTCGGCAGCCAATCGTCTGCCCTGGCGCGCAGTTCCTGGTGAATCCAAAACAGACCCAAGTCTGCGGAGCGCGGTGCAGCCATGGAGGCGTCTGAGACCGAGTTGGAAGCCGCAACCCTGAAGTAAGTGTTTGTTGCCGGATGGCAGCTGGGAGCTGCCTGAGATGGGAGTTAGTGCCTATACCCTGATCCGCTGTTGGGGCCCGACCCCGTTGTGAATTGATACTGTACTCAGTTTCCAGGGGTTTTATTCAGTTCCTGAAGGCCCCGCGCCGCGAGTGTTGGCCTCCGAGGGCTGGTGTCCCCCTGTCCCTCCAGAGGCGTCCTAAAGGGAACAGTTCCATTCCTGTCTACCCGTAGGCCTTCTCACGTCTTCTTAAAGTAGTGTCCACACCCTACAGCCATCCTACAAGGACACGTTGATTTCTGTCTCGCTTCTCCCAATACATTTCCCCAGTGGGCTCTTCTTTGAAAGGTGGAATGGAGCAGTCTCCAGCTCCACTTCCAGCTTTTTGGTGTTTAACTGAAGAGTGGCATGGAATTGACCGCCTGTGCCGACTTCGAACTGTGATCCTCACGGCGCAGCCTCTGGAGTAGCTAAGGATTCCAGGCTTGAGCCACCGGCATCCCGCCCCAGTGAGTTCTTTTTTCCCCAAGCAATGGGTAGATCCAGTCCTGTCAGGTCCCAAGACCCAATGTGTGCATCTTCTAGAGCCCTCTGTCAGGTGTCCACTCTCAGATATTCTGACACCCTAGCTCACAACTAGTGATCTCTTCTCAAGCTCCATCCAAGCTTTGCCCTTAATCTACCGTTCCCCTGCATACCTTCATGTCTTCAGATCTTGACCCAAATAGTTATTTTTTTCTTTAACTTTTTGTTAACTTTTGTTTCATTCCCCTCCCATCGCTCCCTTAATCCTTCACCTTTTCCTCACGACAGCACAGTATGCAACATGGACATGACTGTTGTCACACTGTTGGCTCTTCATGCACTTCTGCAGACTGGCCAGAGTGATTCAATCAGCATTGACACTCTCATCCACAGATGTGCATTTGTATAGCTGTGTTTCATTGCTGTTTCCTTGCTCCTCCAGGGTCCTGGATGAAGCAGCACATGTGCTAGAACCCATGGGCCTGCAGGAAGAGACAGAATTGCCGGCCAGGATCTTGGCTGAATTTGTGAGGGTATGTCGGAGGTGGGCCCCAGGTTTTCTGAAGTTGGGAGCTGGCCCTAGAATCTTCTGTTAAGTTACTGGGACTGTGGAAGGTGACCCTGTTGGCTTACAGTACAAGGAGGTAAGGGTATTCCTTGCTTCTACCCTCTCAAACAGAACTCCAGAAAGAAAGACAAACTACTTTGCAGCCAGCTTCAGGTAGTTGACTTCCTGCAGAATTTCCTGGCTCAGGAGGATACTGCCCAGGGCCTGGACCCCTTGGTTTCTGAAGAAATGAGCCGTGAGTAGACAAGGGATTGAGGTATAGGGGCTGGGCCTAGGTGGGTAAGGAAGGAGGATATATGTTAGTTCTGGTGTATGGCTAATGGGGAGACTGAGGCCTAGTTTTAGGGAAGCAGGCTAGAGGACACCTTCACTCATGCTCTTACTCCTGGTGCTCACCGCAGGACAGAAGGCCATTGCAGCCAAAGAACAATGGAAAGAGCTGAAAGCCACCTACCAGGAGCATGTGGAGGCCATAAGAAGTGTCCTGTCCCAGGTGGAGGAGGCACAGAGGAAGCGAATCCAGCTCCAGGAGGCCTTTGAGCAGCTCCAGGCTAAGGTACAGCTAGGATACTTGAGGGAAGGAAAGGCAGGAAGAGAAAGAGGAAAGGATGAATAAGCTGAGTTGTAGCTACTTGCCCTGAAAAGAAAGTAATTTTCTGTCTCTCTCTCCCTTTCTACTTGGCAGAAACACATGGCCATGGAGAAATTCAGAGCAGCACAGAAGCAGTGGCAGCTGCAACAGGTGAGTCCTTCCTTTTCCCTAAAATTGTGTTCCTATTTTCAAGTGCTTAGGTTCTTCCCTCTCCTTCTCTCCTTCCCCCCCCTCCTTATTTTGATTAGTTTGAGCATTAAGCTAGATGAATCTGGAGGGGATTAGGAGTTAGATGTAAGGCATCATTTGATGAGCTATGTTCTCTCACTCCTCTTAGGAGAAGCATCTACGGAATCTGGCAGAAATTTCTGCAGAGGTAAAGGAACAGCAGATAGCAACTCGGCAACAGCTTGAGCGATTGAATCAGGAACTTGAAACTCTAAAACAGCAAGAAGGGCAGGAACAAGACAAACTACAGAGGTGAGATTTAAGAGTGTGGACTGAAGACTGAGGTAATCCATCTGAGATTCCTTCTCTTCACACTTATGTCCTCCTTCCAGGCACCAGACTTTTCTCCAACTGCTCTATACCCTACAGGGTAAATCCTCTGTCCCTGAGTCTGAAGACAAAGCTACCATAGGAGCTGCCCCTGCACCTTCATCTCCCTAAGGGTAAGACTATACCTATTAATTAATTCAGCCCCAGGATAAGAACAATTGGAACATTACGGGGAAACTCCTTGCTATGTCTTTCAGGGTGCAAAAGGGGACTGGCAGGTTTAAAGAGAAGTTGGGAAGCTGACATTACCAATTGTTGGGCTCTACTTCTCTGAGATCAGAAGCCCACAGTCTTTAGAAGACCTGGCTCACTAGGGAATAGGAACATGGGTAAGGATCCTAGAGTACTCAGAGCTCAAACTCAGACTTTGATGTCTTTGATCTACAGGTGTGGAAAGAGAGGGGGCTTCTGGTTTACCTCTTTTTCCATCTGAGGTCTGCTGTTTGTCCAGTCGAGAATCGAGTTTGGAAGTGGAAAAAAACATGTTACAGTTGAAGGGTTGAAACTTAGCACATTGTTCTCATGCCTGACTCTCCAAGGGTAACTCTTGCTTTCTTCTCCAGCAGAGTGGACTGTGAACTGTTTCTGACCATTATAATTTCTAGTGTGTGGGTTTTTTTTTTTTTTCGAATTACAAACTCCAGCTGTCTCTGTTACTTATTTGTTACTCTCATAAGATGGTGGGATGAATAACAGTCAATCAAAAGCTATTTAACATTACAACAGCTGGGACTGGTATTAATGAATGGAGAGAAAATGGGTGGTCTGATTAGTTGTTTGCTCGGATCATATGAGGCAGATATTTTGAGCTTAATTCTAAGTGGTTAGACCGGAGAAAACAATTTTATTGATTCATGTGGTCAAGTAAGATCCTTGATGTGAATGCAGGTAGCAGCATAAAACAGTGAGCACCCCTAACCTGTTTTAGCATGACCGAATGTCTTTTTGTGCATTATAGTTCCTTGATCACTCTTTGATCATTCATTTTAATTCCAAGATTTTCTTTTGTAATCTACTATTACATTTTGGGTTTGATTGTTGTTTAGTTGGATTTTCTGTTTTTCAATGGAAAAGTGAGTTCTTTTGTAATTTCCTTTTTTTTAAAATTGGAATATTTGTTTTTTCAAATAAACATTTAAGATTATAAATTTATTGACTTTCAGTTTTTCATGACATTTTCCACTTTCTGTTGTTTCTTTCTCTTTCTTTCTTTCTTTTTTCATTTTTTGGGGTGTTCTTGGCCAGTCTTGGGGCTTGAACTCAGAGCCTGGGCACTGTCTCTGAGTTTCTTTTGCTCAAAGCTAGCAATCTACCACTAGAATCACAGCATCCCTTTTGACTTTTTCTGTTTATGTGGTTCTGAGGAATCATCAAACCCAGGGCTTCAACATGCTAGGAATGTACTCTAGCACTAAGCCACATTCTTAGTCCTGTAATTGTTTCTTTATGAGTTTTATTAAAAAATAATTGTTATATTTTGTACTATACTTATTGGAAGATAATACAAGTTTATTCTAATCTGCTTAAAGACTGACACCTATATAATAAAAAGTTTGTGAAGAGAAGCAGTTGTAGCTTTGGTGTGATCTTTATTTAATCTTTTCCATGTGGGTTTGGAGCAAATATATATTTCAAAATTGTGTCTAATATTTTATTTATCTTATAGACTGAGTATTTGATCTCCCGAGAGAGAAGTATGTACAAATCTCTGAGTTTGATAGTGAGTTTGTTTTATTTTTCTTTATATTCTGTTAAAGTTTGCTTCACATTATTTGCAGCTGCCTTATTAAGGTACATACATGATTGTATTTGTATCTTTTTTCTCAACTGAACTTTTATAATTGTGTCGGCTAATATTTTTAGACTTGAAATCTGATGTTGTTAATGTTCCTTTGTGAACTCTTGTTCGATTAGCCTTTTCCTGTTACATCTTTCCCTTGAACTCAACTTTGAGTTTCAGCCTTTCTTTATCCTTCTACTTAGTATTCATAAATGTTTTTTTATTTACTTATTTGTTGTTCTTTTTATTTCCTTCATTTTTCCTTGTTTATAAGCACCTCTTTGCTAGGTTAGGCTTCATAGAATGAATCTAAAATATAAAGAAGACATTTTAAACACCAAGGAAAACATAGATGGTTCATTAATGAACCATCTTTTTTATCTTGTCTTGTTTTATTATTTATTTATTTAGGTGCCAGGCTTAGCACTTGAACTGAGGGCCTGGATGCTGTCCCTGGGCTTTTATGCTCCAGGCTAGTGTTTTACTACTTGACACACCTTCACTTGGCATTTTGATGCTTAATTGGAGATAAGAGTTTCACAGATATTCTTGTCCTGGCTGGCCTTGAACCATTATCTTCAAATCTCAGCCTCTGACTGAGTTCCTGGCACCCTGTGGCCTAATCTTAACTAATAAGTTTGTTCAGCTTATTCTGGCCATTTATCTTCTCAAACTTAGGCTGTTTAATCATTATTTTATTTAAATGGTGCTTTATATATACATTTCTTTTTTTCATTGTTTTTAAGTAGAATAATTTTACCATCTAAAATAAATATCATCTGATTTCCTTTGGTTTGTGTGTATATATCCTATATATTAGGTTTGTTTTTTTTTAGTGCAAAACATTTTTTGTGTTAACATGGTTCCTGAAAAATTATTCAGAAACTGATTTGTAGACAGGAACTATAACTTAATATATTAAAGGTGTATTCCCTAGTTACCTTGTTTTCACTGTTGTTCATGAGAAATCAGCTTTCCATCTAAAACCTCTTCTTTAATATTTTTCCTTTCAGCTTTATTAAGGTAAGCCTGGCTTAAAAATATGTATATTTATGAATATATACTGTAATAAATTATGTCTTGTGAAACAAATCTATTTTTTTTACATATTTTTATGAGACTACGTCAGATCTGTCCTCTTAGTAATTTCTAAATATACAATACATCGTTGTTGGTTACAGTCACCATTTTATGTACTAGATCTCCAAAACTTCCTCATATGTTCTTCTTGGCTACTTACTAAAATCCTCCACATTTGATGGGCTTACTGTGTTATAAAGTCTTTGGAGTCTGTTTTTACTTGCAGTTGGTTGGGCTTTCTGTATCTATAATTGTTAAAATGGGTCCACCTGTATCCCTATTTAAACAATTTGTTTTTTCCCTTCCCCTCCCTCAATTTTACCAACATCAAATACAGTGAAAATGGGTTATACCATGGGGGAGGGACATACAAAGCAACAAAAAACAATCACATGATACCTTATAAATACGTTAGAAACAATAGCACTTGTGTCCTATCTTGGGGTTCATTTCGCTTAACTTAATCTTATCTGGTCATATGTATATAGCCTTTGACCTTTTCTACATGTCCTATACATGTACTAGTTATTGCAAATAAAGGAAGCCATGTTTCTTTGGGCCTGGCTTACTTTACTTAATGTAATTTTTTTTTTTTTTTTGGGTCCGATCGTGGGGCCTGAACTCTGAGCCTGAGCACTGTCCCTCAGCTCTTCAGCTCAAGGCTAGCACTCTATCACTTGAGCCACAGTGCCACTTCCGGCTTTTTTCTTTTTGCTTATGTAGTGCTGAGCAATCGAACCCAGGGCCTCAGGCATGCAAGGCAAGCGCTCTACCACTGAGCCAACTTCCCAGCCCCTACTTAATGTAATTTTTTACAGGTCTTTCCATTCCTAACAAATGGGGCAATGTCATTCTTTCTGATAAAGGCATAGAAATATATATACCATACCAGTTACATTTTCTAAAGCGTAAACTTTCTTTTGAGTTTATTCATTCTAAATGAATTAGAGTTTCCTTAAATCTGTGTGTTAATAGATTTAAAAATACTATTAGTAGTAGTACTACAACTGTGACAGAAGTAAACCTTGCTCAAGGTACAATATCACAACCTATTGAGTACCTTTGATATTTGTATGATATGTTTCTGTCAAATATTCTTGATTTTTCTACAGAAGAGTTCCAGCAAAGCTGATACCATTTATTATTTCTGTACCATTTTGAAATTATAAGAATTTAAAAACCCTGGCTTCATAATTTTCGACCCATTCTGTTAATGTTCTGACAAGAACATTTCTTTATAATACCAGACTTGTAGTTTTTGTAGCAATGTTGGTCTACAAAGGTCATAAATATACCTAAAAATAAATGCCTTTTTTCTTTGTCATCGGTATGAATTCAACGTAAAGGTGGGTTTGTATTGTTATTGTAGCATTATTTTCATGAATTTATTCTTCCTAAAGGAAGTAAAATGAGTAGCTACAAATGTGTAGAATTATTAGCCATAGTACCTGAGAAATTTGGGCTAACTTTGAAAACAGAATAATTATCTAGTTTCACACAATGTTAATTTTCTCCCATTTCAGAGCTGCTCTGAGGATAATACAATCTTATAGAACTTATGTAACTTGTACTAAAATGTTTATGTCTTCCTTTTAAACCTTTTTATGTCTTTTCTTTATGCATAAGTTTTGAAATACTAGTGAACTGTGAAATTAAATAAATTGATTTCATTATTATTCTCAGCCTAGTCTTTAAATGACCCTTTTGATACTTAGAATATTGGACTCTGAAGAACAGTGCTTGGAATTGTAATCTATTAATTAACAAACATGCTTCACTGAAACACTTTGTTCTTAAACCCTTTGTAACCCAGCAGGCATTAGTTCTGGCCTCAACATTTTTTATGTTTGTTCTGAGCCTTTTTGAACTGACATATTTGTAGGGTATAATTTTCCCACTTAGTTAATTTGAATTTATAACTATTAACAATGATAAGGAAATCTTCATGGACCTTTACTCAAAATAAAATTTTAGATGGCATATGCATAAGCATTTTTCATTAAAATATAGTTATATGATATTTCAAATTGATCATATGTCTAATCACATGACCACAATTTATGCTTTATATGTGTATTTAAGAAAAAATATTTCTCTTTAGGAACAGAAGCTAGTCCAATCTCTAAACAAGTGTGACTTGGATTAAGATGACTAGATAGTCTACAATTAAAGACGTAATTTGAAATAATCTTTTTAATGAAATGTAGAATTACCTTTAGTAACAACTAAGCAAGCATGCTTTCTTTACTCCACGGAGATAATGGAGTAACTGGAAAGGAGACACTGATTTTAAATGGACTTTCATCCCTACCTTTTCTTCCAGTGTGCCATTTATAATATGAGAAAAAGGAGGAAAATGAAAAAAATGGCTGCTTCATTATAAGAATTCAACAGTAAATATGTATAATGCATACATGGTGTTCACCTACACACACAAACACAAAATTGGCAGGAAGCTGGAGTGAAGGCAGGAAGTGAATGTGACTGACAGAATTTTTTTTTTTTTGAATTGCTGATCCTGTCTTAACCATTGCTCTCTGAATTCCTCATAGATAAGTATATGTAACAGAGACCTCAATTTTGAATAGAACTTAGTAAGTATGTATTGGATATATAATGGAAGGCTTCCCAAAGAATTGCCATTTGAACTCAATTTCAAATAGATGAAATCATTGACGTGTAAATTATCTCAAATAGTTATTGAATATTGTTATTGGCTGAATATAAGACTTGAAAATTACAAACAGTAGTCTTGCTTTGTCAAAGTTAAAGTTTGGAGAAAAAAACCCAAAAACTTGAGAAGCTAATTCTAGCAAATATAATGGTACTAAAAGCTAACCATCAGTGTTTTGTCAGCAAGGAAACAGGATAATTAACAAAAGAAACATCAGGAATGAGGTTTAGGATGTGAGAGACAAGTGTAATTGCAAATGCAAATGGCAAGCTAGGACTTAGAACTTTGAATAGAAGATACAAAGGTAGCAAAGATCTAGGG